TTGACTGCGCTATGGGCTGCAGCCATATATTGCGCCATGGGTGCCGCAAAACCTCATCAACCATAGGCCCTTGAATTGCACCTTCCCGCGCCCCATGGATGCTGTGAGCGGGTTAGCGTTGCAGGTTGCGCCGTAGATGTGGCGCAGTTGTTTCGTCGCTACCGATTGCGCCCATGGGCGGCGTCATGAATTGCGGCCATCGGTTCCGCCATGGGTGTTGCTGATTTGTCGTCGCTGCTAGAATCTCCTGCACGGACATCATTATCGTCCTCGAGTCGTTGACAGGTTGACCCAGATGGCTAAATGGAACTGCGTTTGGCCGCATCGGTCTTACCCGTTAGTTTCCGCATAGTTTTCGAGTCAAGCCTCGCGACCTCGTGTGGGTCTGTGGCTGGTATTCGGCAACGGAGAGACATGGTGGATTCGAAAGGGCCAAAAAGAATACATCAAACATTACAGAGATTTGAAGGAGTCGACCTTTCCCCGTTGCCAACAGGCTGTGGCGGCCGTTGCCATTCGCTTGCTGGCAAGAAATAAAGGGGCCTAGTGAATGTGGTCATCGAGGCTTTTCAATTGCCACATCCCTTGCTTTCGTGCCCACCGTGCCAAATCGGTGGGGGCGGGGCGATAAGGTGCAAGGACGTTGCATGTGTAGCGCATAGCCGTCCTCAAACAGTTCTGGCCTGTACATACATTGGCGATCTCGAGCGTGTGATCTAGCACAAATCGGTTCGCAGGTTCGGCCCGCGCGCTGCCAGCAGCAGTCTTCCAGTTTCGTTGCCGCTGGTTTCGTTGTTCCGTCCAGCCGCTGCTGGGGGCCTCTGCCCTCTCCGGCGGTCTCCGGCTGCGCCACTGTCCTCCTCCGTCCTCCGTCCTCATCTTCCTGGCTGGATAAGAAGGATAAGGAAGGAGGAGGAGGAGGAGGAGGAGGAGGAGGTAGCTTCCGAGGCCCGAGCCGCAACGCCACGTTTCGGGAGGTGCGCCACACTCCACCCAGGTTCTGCCGGCGGAGTATGTCCTGGAGGCCTCCGCGATGCTTTTGCTCCGTGGCGTGTCTTTCGATTGCATCGGGTTCCTGTACCTGGCGTGCTTTTGCAAGCACGTCGTTTTCGGCACCGCCTGATCCCGAGGTTTTGCCTCCTCCTGGCCTTGTCGTGAGGCCTCCCCTTCTGTCGCCCCCTCTCTGTTAATTCAATCTTCGCGCGGCCCGCTTAGTTTCGACCGGAAGAGGTGCGCTCTCGACCCGCGAATCCAGAAAAAAAAATTCGATTACATGGAGGACATACTGCGCACGGAGCATAGCTGCAGGAGGTGCCTTCCGGGCAGTCTCCAGGAGCCTGCTCGACTTCCTGAGGCGCTTTTGGTGCCCGCCCCGGGTCTCACAATGGCCCTCCACGGGCCCCCGGGGCCTTCAGGATGCAGCCGGGGACGAGGAGGTGGTCCCGGGGAAGGCCCCCTGTGTCCAGGGCTCGCTTCCCGAGACAGATCTTGTCGTGGCGCCATCATCGCAGAGCGGATTTCGCTCGGAAAACAATGGGGTGGGCCCAGATTGTCTGGGAGAGTCTCGTTCCGGATTTCGACGTGAATTTCGTGCGGAGTTGTTTGGGGCCGGGAATGAAGATTACAAGGCATCCATGCGAAATTCACTTCGTGTATCGCTCGCCGTTTCGAGGTTCTGCATTGGCAGAAATCGACGCGAGAATCCGCTGCAGCACGTCTGCACTGTCGGTGCAGCGACCCTTCTCCCGTGTCAGACTACGGCCCGCGGATTTTGTCGTATGGAGTGCGACAGTCATCCGAATAATTCGCACACTACGTATAATGGCTTTATAAGCTGATGGAGGTCAAAGGCACCGACATATGCTTGTGATTTTGGCTCCTGGCAGCAAGCCACGATGAATGTGCCACTGGTGCCTCAGCCGTTACTTTTCCCAATCCCCCGCAGAGCCCATGATAGTGAGGGCGTTGCCTGGCGAAGCTCCGATGTCGCCTAGACGCATCTGGACCACGCCGGGCGGGAGGGCAGAGCATCGGAGGTGAGGGGGTGAGATCGAAGTTGAACGGAGAGCCCCCCTACCGGGAAATCGATTTCGGTTTCGTGTTCGTGCGTGCCGTGCGTGCGGGCGAGGCGAAGCTGCGTGGGCGGGCGAGAGAAAGTCTCCTGTGGCTGAGGCGCGGCCGGACCAAATGATTCCCTTCCGGGCGGCCGGGGGCCCGCGGTGTCCCGCCGGTGTCCCGCTGGTGTCCCGTGTGGCTGAGGCGCGGCCGGACCAAATGTCTCCCTTCCGGGCGGCCGGGGCCCCGCGGTGTCCCGCCGGTGTCCCGCTGGTGTCCCGTGTGGCTGAGGCGCGGCCGGACGAAATGATTCCCTTCTGGGCGGCCAGGGCCCCGCGGTGTCCCGCCGGTGTCCCGCTGGACGATGTTGATGTTTTGTTTTGATGACCGATAGTGAGATCGGTAGTGATATCGATTGTGAGATCGAACGTGAGATCGATAATGA